TTATATTTATATATATATATATATAATGACGCCAGCTCGCCGGAGAAGCAAATTCTCGGGTCGGTCCTCCGCGCGAGCCGCTGTTTGAGCTTTGAGATGCGTGTATCTTTCGTCTCCCTGGCTTCCTCTCTCTCTCATCCTCTAACATATTATACGCACCACGCACACACACGCACATACGCACCCGCGCGCGCACTAGGACACGATCGTTGGCACTGTATACGATTGACGGAGTAATTTAAAAAAAAAAAAGGAAAAAGATAGACAGAGATGGCTCGATCGGAAGTTCTTCCTCGAGAGGAAAACGACTATAGGATCTCAGGATCCTCGCGGCTTAAGAATACTGGAAGCACGATCGGCTGACTGTGCCGATCTTATTAATCTCGATCGTGTTCGAGTGCGCGTGAATATCAGCAAACTTGAATAATGTGACCCGATCATTAGGACACGCAGTAGCAGCCGAATAAACGATCCAGAATGCGCTTGATCGCACAGCAAATAATGACATATCATCGTCGCTTAAGATTGTCACAGTGATACGCAATCACGTTTTTCTTTCTCTCGTTTCCCAATTTTTAGCGTTGCATCGTAAGAGGAATACCGTGGACGTGTAGTTCGCGTAGAAAAATGTTTAAAAAACTTCTAAGCTATTTAGAGAGGACGATCTCTGCGAATCGAGAGATATTCTTCATACGATTCTCTTTCATTATTTCCATATCACTGCATGATCGATTGGCGCAATGAATTTTCTTTTCTTTATTTATTTTTTTTTTTTTTCGTTTTATGCGTCGTACGAAACGCATTCGTCGCATTTCCTCTCCCTTTCTCTCTCCCTCTCTTTTCTTTCATTACCTACGAAGTCGCAAGCGATCGCGATTCTTCGGGCTTATTTAAAATACCGACGACGATGACCGTGGCTGCGGACGGCGCTCGTTGCCGAAACGAAAGCAGTGCCGTTGATATTCGACACTTGACGAAGGCACAGTCATAAGTCTCGTACGTTCAGTAATTTTCTCTCTTTCTCTCCTTTTTTCAGAGCGTACAAAATATCCCGTGAAACAGAACGCGGAATTATCACGAACGAAATTTATTCATTTTTTTTTCTTATATTTTCTACATCTGCGCAGCATCGTTTCCTCCTTCCGTATCCGCGTATTAGCACCGATAACGCGCCCCGATACGCAGTTAATTCCCTACGGATCTCCGACCGATATTATTACCTCCATCATCTCTCATTCACCGCTGTTTCTCTTTTTTTATATATATAACATAATATAATATTATTAATATAAACGTTTACGTTTTGGCCACTCAGTTCGTGATCGCCGAAGCACATTATTGTCTGTGTTCCGCACGATGTTTAGGTAGTTTAGAATAATTTTAATTCACTTTTATACAACACTGAATCCTGCTGTCAACTTCGTCGCTCTCGTATATGATTCTTTGTAAAGACGATCCAGCTCGGCGGCTCATCTCCTCCTCTTGGCCGCAGCCGTGGCGATCATTTGCCTCAGCATCGGTTCCGGACTGCACATTCGCGGTTCGCATTTCATGTTGCCATCACCTCCACAGCTGAAATTTTACAAGAATTCGTAAAATTTTTGGAGACAATACGCACAAATTGACATAAAAATTTAATTATAGGAATAAAAAGATATATCTTTTCTCGTTGATAAAAACTTACGTGCAATGAAGGCAAGGTCCAGACGTCGATTTAATGACCTCTCCTACTCGATACGCCTGACCACGGATCTGGCAGCCACTTCGTTTCGCGGCTCCTTTATAAGCGTGAGCGTGAAAATGTGGCGGTAACGTAGTCGTGGTCGTGGTAGTGGTGGTGGTCAAGTTAAGAGACATGGCCATTGACACGGGACACTCGTATCTAGGACAGCAGAAGCCGCTGATTGGTTCCTCATGGCAGCCCGGAATAGGCGGCGGGCAGCTTTGTTGCAAGCAGATAATGTCACTCCTAAAGCAGAAGCAGAAGTCGCACGGATCATCTCTGGGTATCTGTTGCGCCGAGACGTAGACCTTGCCTCCGTATCGGCAAGTGCCCGGTCCGTAGATGTGTGCGTCTTCATCGTAATCCTCATCGGGATTCAAATTACTGCCACTTTGCGGAGGGAAGTGAGGATAATCCTCATCCGATTGATCGGGATACTCCGGAATATGAGGTGCCAAAGTAGTTGCCGGTCGGTGTTCGTGGTACGGTCGTTCCGATTCTACAGTATGATTAACCGGTCGCAAATGTTCCTCGTCGGATCCCAATCCACTTTCCGCGGAATAGTCAGTCTCTGGCTTCATAGTAGCCTCTGGGAAGTGGTCAATGTGAGGATGACTGTCTTCTTCACTCTCTTGGGAAGGAACGATTTCCTCATCGGAAATTTCTGTACTTTCTCCGATTGGTAATTCCGTCGATACCGGCTGCGTCTTTATGACATCTTCAATCGGCGTTTCCTGCACATCTTCTTCAGGTCTTATCGGGCCCTGGGTTTCCGCTTCTTCTGATATTGGTCCAATAGTAGCTTTCTCTTCAGGCAATTTGGTTGCCACGCTAGATATCGTGGTTGATCCTTCAACTGGCACGATAGCTTCCGAAGATATTTCTGATTGTTCGGTTTCCGGATGCTCTTCTGGTTTTATTGTAACAGATGTTTCGGGCGCATGTTCTGTAGTAAATTGAGGTTCTTCAGGTATACCTAGATGCTCTTCGCCTTCTTCCGGTTTGCTAGGCTGAATCTCTCCCGGTGCAAGAGTTTCCTCTTCAGAAGGAAGAGGTCCTTCAGTTGGCTGTAATTTCGGTATCGACGGATGTTCTTCCTCGTGAATGGAAGTCGTTTCGACTGAAAGACTCGATTCAGTAGAATGTGCTTCCTCTTCACCTACTGTAGAAGTTTCGCTTGGTTCTTCAGCTTCTGGAATCACTTCCACTGGAATTATTTCCTCTGGTAATTTCTCCTCGATTACAGCATGTTCAGTTGATTTCGTGGTAGTTTCACCTTGTTGTTGCTCGGGCGATTTTGTTTCTTGTTCTGGTACAGCTGGTACAGGTTTTTCTGTTTCAGATGGAACTTCCGCAAACTTTTCGGTTGTGCTTATTTCGACAGAAACTTTTGTAATGGATTCCTCCGGTTTCTCCTTTGCACTTTCAGATGTAGCAAATTCTTCTTCGGGTTTTTCCACTTCACTGACCTCGGTCACTGGTTTCGATGCTTCTTCTTCTGCGATGGATACCGTTGTCTGATATTCAGGTTTATGAGTGCCTTTTTCTTTTTCTTCTGCCTCCACCGATATTGGATATTCTTCAGGTATCAAGCTTGGTCCGGTCGTCGCTTCTTCGCTCAATGGACGCTCCGGCTCGCTTGTAACTTCCTCTTCAGGTTTCTGCTCTTTCGGAGCAATCGTTGTTTCAAGTTCCGTTGGTCCATGAGTTTTTATTTCAACTTCTTGCTCGGTGTGTTCTTCCATGGCAGGATATTTCTCTGTAATACCAGCAGATGTTACAGCTTCTTCCTTAATAGCTTCTTCCGTGACCGGTTCTTCTTTATCCGTTTCTTTCGTTACTCCGACTTCAGGTTTCTGCTCCTCTTCTTCTTTGTGAATTTCGGAAATAATAGTGTGTTCTTCCGTTAAACTGGGCAATTCGGTTTCTGGTTTGGCACTTTCTGTACTCTTTTCGGTTCCTGTTTGTTCCTCTTGGCTCGTTACGCTTTCTGTGGCTTCTGCTTTTGAAATACCGCTTTCTGTTGTCTCGCCTTCACTAGGAATAACCGTCTGTTCTTCGCCAAGATGTTCTTCAGATTTCGTAGTGTGTTCTTCGATTGGAACAGTGATGTGTTCTTCTTCTATAGCTGGTACTTCGGATTCCGCTTCGGGAATGATAGGCTGCTTAGTTCCTACTTCGTCTAGACTCGGCTGAGCTTCCTTTTTTGATGTAACGGGTTGCTCACCGGCTTCTTCTTCTGTACGTACAGACGTTGTTAGTATTTCTTCGGCTATCGTATGCTCTTCAACAGGTGATGCAGATGTATGAGATTCAATTTCGACTTCTGGATGTTGTTCAGTCGAAATTTGCGTACTTTCCGGTTCGTGAACAATACTGGGTTCAATAGGCTTTTCATGTTCCGCTTCTGCTTTGGAAGTTTCAACTTTAATAGGTTGTTCCGTACTAATCGGAGATTCAGTTTCAGATGGTTTTTCTTCAGGCAATTTTGTGACAGATGGTTTTTCTTCAGGCAATTTTGTGACAGATGGTTCTTTCTCGTATTCCGATGGTTCCGTATGTTCTTCAGCATGTTCCGTAGGTTCTTTTCCTGCTGCGCTTTCTGTTGTTTCCGGCGATGTTTCTTCATGAGAAACTTCAGTAGTAGATTCTTCGACTGGTTTAGCGGTTTCTTCGCTAGATTTTTCTAATTCCTGTTTAGTTGTCATCTCGCTAAGTATCTCTGTTTCAACGGATGAGATAGGAATCGTAACATGTTCTTTTTCAGGAACTTTAGTTGAAAATTCCGGTTTTATTTCTCCTTTGCTTTCTTCCGTAGAAACTTCTGTAGATTTTATAGTTGCATGTTCTTCTAATGGCGCTTCTTCGGTCACCGTATGATCGTGTATCAAAGTCGTCGATTCGGCAACAGGTGCGATTGGTTCTTGCGTTTCTATACTGCCAATGCCAGGTAATTTCGTTTGGCTTTCTGGTTCTTCGGTCTGAGTAGCTTGTTCACCTTCAGCCAACGTAACTATTTCATGTTCTTTTTCCTCTTCGTGCTCAGTTTCACTTTCGAGTTTATGCTCCGTCGTCGGTTGAATTTCAGGAATGGATGTACTCTCATATTCAGTTGTTTCAACAGTCGTTTGTTCCTCTGAAATTTCCGGTTTCGCTGATAACTCCTCTTCGTCAATAATTGATTTTTCGGAAGTTATTAGTATTTTCTCTTCTTCAGGCTGCTTTGTATCACCTTCTTTAATCGACTTAGGCGTAGAATGTTCCTTAACACTTTCTTCCTCAGAGGGATTCTCTTTGGTAGTCGTAGTAATCTCTTCTTCCTTACCAAGTCCAATAGTCGTAATTTCTTCTTCTTTCTCAGCAGATGTTGAAGTTTCTTCTACTTCAACAGGAACAGAAATCTTTTTCTCTTCTGTTATAGTCGGGGTCGTAATTTCTTCTGCTTTACTATAAATTTCCTGTTCTGTAGATATATGCGTGGAAGTAATTATTTGCTCCTCGCCACTAACAGGAGTTTGTTCTTCGATAGTCTCCTCCTGTGGTTGCTCGGTCGAAGCTGCCGGTTCTGTTATACTTTCTTCTTTTTCGCTAATTTTGTCTTCGGTAATTTCTCCTGGTACATTTGGTAGCACAGTATAATGTTCCTCTTCGGGTATTTGACTTGCAGACTCCTGTGCTATCTCAGGCACAGTACTAATAGTATGTTCTTCAGGCTGTTGCTCAATAGATTGCGCAATTGTAGTTGGCTGTTCGTAAATTGGTTCGATAGATTTTAGAGTAGTCTGCTGTTTCTCAGTTGTCAATTCTATCTCTTCTTCCGATGGAGAAATAGAGGCAACAGTGGCTTCCGCAGGCCGTGCCTCCGGCGTACTGATTTCACCAGCTAACGTACTATATTCTTTCGCTGCTTCAGTAACCTCTATGGCAGGTTCCTCTGTTGATATCTCTGCCGGCAAAGAAGTTTTTTGGTCTTCCTCTGCCTCAGGAGTATGTGGCTCGATTACGTGACTGTCAGACTCCAATTCGGCAGTTGGTGTCGAATCACATGCATACATTGGACAGCACGACTCTCCGCTCGTATAAACCGGCATGCAGTTTAATAAATGAGCCGGCGGGGCAGGACATTGCACGAGTTCACATTGAACGATACTGCTAATACAACGACAACTCGTCTGACACGCGTTCGCCGGCGGAACAGCCGAATTATTGCTGTAGGATTGTCCTTCGACAAGACAGTTACCTTCTCCTGGAATACCTAATGGACGAGGTGCAATCTCTGATGTACTCTCTTTCTCTATAAGAGTTTCTTCAGAAATGCTCGTTTCGGTTGAATATTTAGGTATTTTTTCCAATGGTGTTTCAGTCGTAATTTGTATTTCAGGAGTTTCTTTTAAAGCAACCGTTGCATGTTCCTCTTGTTCTTCGTGAATCGGCGGCTCCGTGCTTGCAATGTCTTTCACTTCGGGCTTCTGTGGTTGCTCCTCAGTAACAGGTACTTTAGGCATTTCTGGAATCGCACTTTCTTTTGTGGGTATTTCAGTAAGCTCTTCACTTCCTTCCTGGCTTGATTCTTCTTCCATTACCAATGATTGTGTGGTCTGCTCATGTGTTTCCGGTTGTCTCTCTTCTAAAGACACGGATTCTGATTTTGAAGATTCTAAAGATGTAGATTCTGTAGAAGATATAATTTCCGGTTGTCTTTCTTCCGAAGGCACAGATTCTGATTCTGAAGATGCAGATTCTGTAGAAGATACAATTTCCGGTTGTATCTCTTCCGAAGATACAGTTTCTAATTCTGAAGATACAGATTCTGTAGAAGGTATAATTTCTGTTTCGACGGAAACTTCACCTTCATGCTTTGTCGGTTTTTCAATAGGCCCAAGTGTCGTGATACCTTCGCTTGCAGCTTCGGTTGACTTACTGATATCTTCTTCACCCGTGCTGGTTGGAGTTACAGAAGTACCTTCGTGAATTACAGAAATGGGTGTTTCAGTCTCTTTTCTTACATGTATTTCAGGCTGTTCTTTGATGACCGGTCCCTGAGTCTGTTCTTCTTGTTCTGATGGTCTTGTTGTGACATTTTCTGGTTGTGCGCTCGCTACTTCAGGTTGCTCTTGCACAGCTGGTTGCGTAACGGCTTCGCCTCCGTCAACGAGTGTCGTTGTGCCAGTAACCTCAGTCGGTTTTTGTTCCGGCAAAACAGATTCGGTAACAGCTTCTTCAGAAGGAATTGTCGTTTTCTGTGGTTCTTCGTGTGTTTCAATTTCTTTCTTCTCTTCGAGAGATGGTTTCTGAGTTACTTGTTCTTCGCCTTCCTGCTTTTCTTCGCTTGGTTTTGGTTCAACAGATTCCTGATCCTCCTTGCGGTCTGAGGGAATCGAAGGTTGGCTTGGTATATATTCTTCGGTAACGGAAGGTTCAGTCTGTATTTTCTCTGTTTCCTCCACTGCCGGTGATTCGGTGGACCCAGTTTCAACTACAGGAATTTCTGTTTGCACCTCCTCCGTGGATACAGGCACAGAGATTTTTTCTTCACTTTCTTTCTCAGCTTCACTTGTTTCGATAGGGTGTGGTAATTCTGTCTGTTCAATACTTGTAATGTCTGTTGGTTTCACTCCTATAGTTTCTTCAGATGGTTTATCTCCTTCGCTTGGTTCCTTTTCTGTTATCATTGCTTCAGTTTGATGTTCTATACTTTCCGTTGATACGCCTTCGATACCTTCTGCTTCCTCAGGCTTTTTCTCGATCGGAGGTGCCTCGGTTTGTTGCACACCATGGCTTTCTGTAGTAGCAGCTTCTTCTGAAATCTTGTCAGTTGAATATTGTTCAGGTTGCTCAGTTTTTTCTTTTTCAACAGGCGCTTGTGTCGTAGGCTTCTCTTCGGCTTCTTCTATCGTCTTTATTGCTACCGTGGTTTCTGTCTCTTTCGAGGTAGGTTCTTCGGTTTGTATTTCATTGTCTTCTTCGGTTATACCTGGTGAAATAGCAGGTTGTTTTGTAACATGCTCCTCGACTGGCTTTTTCTTTTCAGCAGGAGTAATTTCAGTTTCTATTTCTCCGATTTGTAGCACGGTCGATTGTTCAGGAATTACGGTAATATGTTCACTTTTTGTTGTTTGTTCTTCTTCAAGACTCGGAGGCACTGTTGAATGTTCGTGTTCAGCTGGGATAGAAGTAGAAATTTCTGGTTCTGTTATGATCGGAGGTTGTGTTTTTATTTCCTCTTCATTTGACTGTTCTTTCTTTGGTTGAACCTCTTTCTCACCACTAATTTGTTCAAAAGAACCAGATTCTTTGATACCAAGTTCCTTTGTAGGCAATTCTTCCTTGAGAGTTTCTTCTGTTGATTGAATTTCTGTTTCGATCTCTTTCGGCACACTAGGTTTTTCAGTTTCCTCAGATACTTTTTCTCCTGATATATGAGAAATAGTAGTTGCAGAAGGTTCCGTGCTAGCATGAGCTTCAGTAACAGCAGGAGTACTTTCTGTTTTTGTTTCTTCGGAGCCTGTAGTGATTTCTGGTTTACGCTGGCTTGGTAGATTTATTTCTGTAACTTCTTCCGGATATGGTTTTGAACTTTCTTCTTCCGGTGCTTCAGCTTCCTCCGCACTTGGTTTCGAAGTTTCTTCTGACGAGGCTAATGTAGTCTCCTGTTCCTGTGGAATATATGTTGTAGGAATTTCCTGCGGATGTTCAGTTATAAGATTGTCGGGACTAATGATTTCTGGACGTATAATATCATGGTAATCCTCCGTCACATGATACACGTTCTCATCTTCCGCTTTCTGTTCCGGACTTCGCTCAGGAATTGGTATGCCGGTTAGGCCTTGAGTTGGAATTTCCGGAGTTGATTCCTCTGCCCGTTGCCCTTCCGTAGTGATATGTTCCTCGCCCATTGCTGGACTCTCAGTCAGACCGGCATCTCCCATCTTAGCGCCGACAGTGGCTTGTTCTTTTTCGATTACTGCGTGCTCAGATGTCGGCTCTTCCGGCCGTTGTTCCTCCTCACCCTCGCTTACCATTGGTTTTTGTTCTTTTTCAGCAGGTTGTTTTGTAGGCAAACTACTCACTTCAGTCAATGGAACTTCTTCCGTAACAGCGATTTCCGTTAGATGAGATATTTCTTTTTCAGTGGTAATTTTTTCAGTACTGGATGCTTCATGAGGTACAGTTGTAGTTACTTCCTTTATCGATGCTTCCGTCTCAGTCATCAAAATTTCACTTGATGTCTCTACTTTATCTTCACTTTCCTTCGTTTTCTCGGTAATAGATTCAGGAACAGTGCTAATATCAAGCTGTTCAGCTTCTATGACTGGTAATGTTGCTTCCTCAACAATTTCAGTCGAAATTTCTGGTCTTTCTGGCGCTTCCGTCACGCTAACTTGTCCTTCTCCCGTTGTTTTTTCTGCTTCAGTCACCTCTACTGAAAGTTCTTCGTGTGGACTAGTAATCTCCCCTGATTTTACACTTTCAGTCTGCGTTTCTTCGCTAACGGCAGGTTCAATCGATTGTTCTTTTTCAACTACGCTCTCTTCTGTGCTTATGTGTTCTTCAGGTACATGTTCTGTAGTTACCGCTTCCTCTTCCGGTCGTAAGCCTTCCGAGATAGATGAAACTTCCGGCAATTCAACGGCAGGTGCTTCGGTAGCTAAACTTTCTTCAGTTTTTTGTACTGTCATAGGCGCTTCCGTCTTCGTTGCTTCTGCATCGGAGGGCACTTTCGTAGTTATTGCCTCTTCCGTAGCAGTAGTTTCCGTCTCAAGTACAGCGTTCTCTTCTGCTGGTGGTGTTGCGGGTTGTTCTTCAGATTTCTCGGTAGAAGCAATGTGTTCCTGAGTAATATGTTCAATAGTTCCTTGAATATTCCCTTCTTCTTCTCCCTCGTGCGGTATAGCATTGTCGGCACCTGGGAATGTTTCCTCCTGAAGGTGTTTCTTTACTTGCTGATCCTCCTGATCGATTAGCATGGGAGACTCGGTCGTCAATAGATCGTGTGGTACTTGCCCCGGAAGTTGTTCTTCATCTTCTTCTGGTAGCGTGATTCCTTCGTCTTCTTCTGTAATAAGTATAAATCGTAAACGTATGCTTTAATGCGTAATATTCATTGTACCTCAATTAGATCGTTGAGTTATAATGCATCGCAACCGGCGGTTATTACGTGAAATTACTTACCGCACTCGTATGTGGTCGGACAACATTCTCCTTCTGGTGGCGGTAAAGCCGTGCAATTCTTTCCGTGCGCTTGCATCGGCGTTCCGCAATTTTGTACCGCGCAAGCGATTTCACCTCGGAAGCAGTAACAATGCTCGCAAGGCTGATTCGAGTAAATCAGATCGCCGTCTTCGTACACTTTATCCTCATGATAACATTGAGATGACGCGCCGGGAGGTGGAGTTGTGGTGATGAGCCCGGGAGTTGGACCAACCGTGGTGCTAAGTTCCTCGTCATATTCTGCGCAAATAATCAGTAATTGCGAGCGCACGAACGAAGAGCAAAATATCGCGAGAAAGAGACAACGCAATTACTTACCGCAATTGTATTTGATCGGACAACACACGCCCGGTTGGTAGACCGGTTTACATCCTGCCACTTGTAAAGTACATTCTTGCATGACGCATGTGGTTCTGTTTCGAATGCAGTAGCAAAGCTCGCAAGGATTGTGATGCTCCAGCGGCAGCATGGCGCCGTCTGGGTAAAATCTCTCGTCGACGTGACATCCGTAATTATCATGGAAACCAACTGCCGTGGAATCCGCCGGTGCGCTCATTGTCGACGTCAACAATTGGACCGGTACTTCCAGACAAGTGATCACGGGGCAGCATTGATCCGGACGCTTCTCCACCGTGCAATCCTGACCGATCGCTTTCGTGAATGGACATACCTTCAGGTAACACATTAGCATTCGATTGTGGCACGTGCAATTTAGACATGGTTCACTCGTAATGATCCTATCCCCTTCTTGATAACGCTGAAAGTTGAAGTAACACCCAGCAACAGCTAGAGAAACATAATTAAACGTTAATAAATATGTCAAAAATCTGAAACATAGCGCAATTATGTAATGCGATTGTTATTTTCGCGGCATCATCACATCGCGGAATGCAACAAGTTTAGCGAACAAGTTTTAATTTTGTGATACATTACGTAAAAATCATTCATAATATTCGATCCTCCTGATTAAAGCACGATACCTGCGGCTTCTCGAACCGCGACACGATTAATATTAACGCACGTATCGATTGATTAGATGCAGTTAATGTCGGAGTGATATACATACCTCCATCGTATTCTGCGATCTGTGTGGTATCCTGATCGTATACCGGTGCTGTAATCAAAGAAACACACGACTGTTATTAATGCTACAAGATCGAGCGCGCTGCGATGGATAGATGCTCATGCACGATACGCGGAATTAAAGTTAATGAAAAGTGTAAAACGGGATTACGTCGAATAAGCTCGGTAAAATTTGCAGGAGGGGGATGACGTCAATGCGTCTCCCTCGTGCAGTTTATCATAGTAATTACTAGCAGGACGCATTCAAGTTGTCTCTCTTTCTCTCTCTCGAGGGTGTACCAGGGTTTGACGCTGGACGAGTGGAAGCGTCATATGGCGCGAACACACGTGGGCGAATTCTCATTAACACCCTCGCCCTAGTCAAACGAGTTGTATAGCGAGAGTGCGCACAGAATACTGAATTCCCTTCGACTCTCTGCGTGTAATCCGACGCGTACAACACACAATACGTACATATCTCCCATTCCATTTTCTTCTTACGCGACACTCTTTAGCAATTTCTTTCGGAATTGAAATGTCGCACGCAGGACCCTGAGTTCGATTGTTCCTGAAACGTGACAGGATACTCTCCCGAGGTACAATCACCGAGATGTTCTAGAGATCGCACAATGAGTCTTTTCTATTCGAGTCACTCTCGTTCTCGCTTTCTCGAAGCTACATTCAGCCATTTATCACATCCTGGAGAGATTCAATACTACATCCGTGCATATATATATATGGATCAGAGAGAATTATTCAAATCTTCGTAAATGATAATTAAATTATTGGACGTGCAAGAAAATTATACGATTTTATTAAATACCTTTGCATTTTTGCAGAAAAAAAAAATTGCTATATTGAGTTCCATAGATCTTTTGGAAGCGAAAATTCAAGACATTCCGCGACGCAGGCGATTTCCAATGAATCGATTTGTACCAGGAATCACGACGACACAGGCTTCGGGTGAATGGAAGGCCCCTCGTCAATCCCACGAACAAATCGGGGCCCGAGCCGCGTGCCTCCACGTTATACGGAGCCATCACGTACGCGTGCACTGTGGCCTACCGAGACGATTCTTGTCTCGCATAATGGTCGGGCTAAATTATTACGTTGCACCTTCCTGCGGAGAGACCACGGTCAAGGTGTCGTGTAATCCCGATTGTAATCTCCGTACGTGTTCTTCATTGTGCGTGCGCTAACTACGACACTCTTGCACAATACGATTATTCAACAGACAGTTTGGCATGCGCGGCGCTTATAATTGAACGCATAATGATATGATCAAGGCTAGTATCGATTGATAGAAGCTACTTATCCGAGATCTGTTCGATACCGTAACGAGAAATTAAAAAGAAGGGAAAAAGGAGATATTTCCTACGAGGGTAATCATCATTGATTCGACTTTTTTTTAGAGCTGACGTAAACTTGTCGCATCTTTCGAACGGTCCATCCGTCGAGTTTTACGACGATACGCACCAAAAACCGAGTGACTGCTTTTTGCCGCGCAAGCGAGCATTTCCTTTGCTTCTTCTCGGTTCAGCGGCGAACGATAAATTACCGATGGCGAACTAACGGGACGATCATTGAGTGCGTACGACCGGGAAGATGCTGGCAAAAAGTTGCGACGCATTTCGACTGTGGTAACGGAGAATTGCATCGTGATGAAGCGCGATGATCTCGACACGATCGACGTACGTTACCGATCCCACGTATTTTCCGACACTTGTTTCTTGTTCTCTCGTGATCGAGAAACGCACGGACCACGAGTTCTTTTCCGGGAAGAAGCAGCGAGAGTCGTTCGATAAATCTCGCTCATCGAGATACTGTTCTGCGCTTCGGATAAAAATACAGTTTCGAATAAAACGCATCGTACAAAGCCGTGTGCATCGACCAAGGTACGGTCTAAGGCCAGAACCTCTCTTTCTCCCCTCTCTCTTTCTCTTTCTTTCTCGAGATGTACCTCGAGAAGGGAACGCGGACCCTAAATCAATCTTGATCGCGTAGAAAAAGAACGACGTGGGAGTTTATCGGTATCAACAATAAACGCATCTTCCCTCGAATATAATTTCCGCGCGCGAGATTTATACGCTTCTCTCGGCCGCCTCGCTCGTAATCGAGGACAGAGAATCGCGCATACACACAGACACAAACATATTTTATATATATCTCGAGGAATCGCGGGGAGAGTCATTATGTAAGTCGACGTACTCGCCGAGAGAGTCCTCCCGTTTCCTCTCCCGTGTCGTCTCCCCTCTTGCCCTTCTCCACTTTTCTCTCTCACAATTGTCTCGCTCCCTCCTCGGAGAGCGATCCTCTCGGTTCCTCTCTCGCGATGTGTCTCGACCTGACCCGCGTCCCTTTCTCCGCGTCTGAGCACGAATGCGCGCGCGAACGATGCTATTACACTGCAGGAGAACGCGAAGCGCTTGCGCTCGCGTTATGAAATCATCCCCGGCGGCCTTGCCTCGCGAAAGTTCATTACCATCAACCGCACGCGGTCCGATGAACACCTGGCACCATAGCCGGACCCTGGTGTATTGCGTGCACGAAATTCTGCATTACGCATCCTCCAAGGTCGCGATTTCCTTCGCCGCGCGCTTTCCGGGTCAGCCTATCCGCCTATACACTGACGAAAAAGATGACGGAATAATTTCATCTCCCATTGCGCGAGATGAGGGAAGAAAATCCCCGCGCGACAAGATTTTCCTCCTCGTTGGCAATTCATCTCGCTCGAAAGTTACGCAACTCAGATAATTTTATCGAAGCAAATTCAGATTACGAGATAAAAAGATAACGAGCTTTGTTTGCATCGGCGCAACCGTTAATGCCAATGTCACGGCGATCGAGAAGGTAACGCCGTGGAAACCTGGCCGACCGGTTTCTGGCGTAATACGCGCCGCGCCGCGTGTTTCTTAGCGTGCGGTCCCCTCTCTTCCTTTCGAGGACAATCATAAATTATATCCTCCGAATCGCGGGATCGAGTTCATTGCCACTTCCTATATTATGAGGCGAGTCCGCGCGCCGTTAGATGCGGTAATGAGAATAATTCCCGGACGAAAGAAACGCTCGTTTCCGATAAGGGACTCGGGATCTCTGAACTCGCGATTCACTTCGCTGCACGGGAATGCCCTGCGAGCATGTTGGCTCTAGCGGACATTGAACGCGCGATATCGCGTGATAACCTCCCTTAAATTTCCTCTGCACTAAATCGGAACACCCCCATTTTCCAAAACGGATTAATCGTCGCGACCGATTTAATCCGCGTCACGGTGACGTTGCACCCACGCGTTCCGTTATACCCTTCGTCGGATGACCGCCGCTGACCTCGCCATCTCGGTAAGTAGTCAAGAAGATACACAGACGAGAGGGAGAAGGAGAGAGCTCAGAAGAGGACAAGAGAGTGGAGTCCTCTTACTATGTACCGGTTACAACAGATCCTTTCTATACCCTCTTATCTCATGAGAGAGCTCTTTCCTCGTCTGAATTGACGGCGCGAAATGTATTCGCACTCGCTATTAAAAACGCATTGGATCGAGTCACCTCAAAACCCTCATTGTTCCGAGCCCGAGTGCAAGACTTTACGATAGATTCATATACCTCTCGGACAATCCGATTTAATTGTAAAATTGAGAGATTGAGATCCGTAATTCTTTTTTCAAATGTATAAAAATCTTTTGCACATACACACATATACTTATCGATCGGCTCGTACGATCATATCTCACGCGGAATATTCGAGTACATTTAATAGACGCGTAACTGTACGCGATTCCACATCACATATATCTCGGCGCATTTGTATGCTCTCCGGCTGCGCTATCCGCATTCTCTTCCGCGACGGGCTCGTCGCGAGAGAGTCTGATGATGCTTGACGATAATGACACTTTGCCAGGCATTAGACATAAATATGGAACGCCTCAGGGGTCAGGTGCGACCCCGTGGCGGACCGTAAGTGGCGAACGGTGAGGTACGCGGTCAGTGACATCACGACGTGAGCACGCCGAGACTGACTACACCTCGGGGCTTACAGGTTTGACCAGAATTCACACAGCATCGCGTAGCTGCAACCGCGGAGGAACCGCTACGCGAGTGGACAGCTGTATGCCAAAACGTATCTTTTTTTTTCTTCCGTCGCCGATTTTGTATCATTTCCGAGTGGAATTCCGAAATTGACTTCTCTGCATGAATATGGAAGATCTCTCCGTCGCGTTTTTTTTTTTGGCACTAATGTAAGGAATAATTTTTTTGTTTGAATTGTTGAACGCGCGAGATAGAGAGATATGTAGAAATGAAATAAATTTGCGAAACGAGAAGAGAGATGTTACTGAAGTAATATCTATACTTTGTCAACTATCGGATTTCTTGTCGCGGATAATAATGATGTAAACCATATAAACATGTAACAATTTGATGCAAGCACGGAAAATTGCAAAGGGTGAGCGTCGCTCATAATTTTCCAATGTAATGCAATCTGATATATCAAGCGGATTCCTCGATAATCTTAAAACGACAGATCCGAGAAGAATGTTAAAAAACGAGAGATAAATTTTTTCTGCAATGAAAACCTGTTGCCTACCGAAGTCGGCAATGTTCCTGATTTCCTTTGAATACGAACGTCTTGCACAAATGCCCGCTGTCACAAAGAAGATACATAATCCAGTAAAACTTGTCCGTCGTCTGATGAATCGCCGGTGATCGAGCGTGTCGATCTCGATCGTCCTTGCTATCTGCTCGAGAAAAGCTTGAAGAACGAAAAAAAGGATACGAGCGTACACACAAGAGAGAAAGAATCACAGAATCGCCAGGTTATTCCCGGAGTGAAAAAAAAAGGAAAAAAAAAACCAGTGAGAGAAAGAGAAGACACGCCGAGCGAGTCGCGGAATTCAATCGATTCTGTCCGTTTAACCACACCTGCTCTTCGTTGAAGCACCGACGGCCGATTGATGAAGGGGAGAAGCAAAACTGACGCATCCTCAATAAGCCTTCATTGACGATGCAACGTTTTTGCACGCGCCGTGTTCGTATCGTGTATTTCCGAGAACGCACCTCTATCTATCGATCCATCGATTGAACGTCGTGAGCGCTTGGCGCAAAATAGATTCGACTTCTTTGCATATCTTTTTCTCTCGAGATTGCAAAAAAAAATTACTTTCTCGAATAACGAATTACGAGAGCAATAAATTCTTTTTTTTCGATCGATATTGAAGTACATTTTACACGAATTTGCGGTCGATCGCGCGCGATATAATCTCGCACTATTGCCGTTTTTCTTCTCCGGAAATAATTCATAATGCGACAATTTAAAGCCCAACTGGATCGTCTTGCTCTTATATCGGTAGCAGGACTCGATAAGGATCCAGGCGTACCGTTTGAAACCTGCTAGACGTAAAGGGAAGAAGCTCCGCGCGATACTTCGCGGAACGAGGCCTCACGAGGATAGGAAGGAGACGCGACCGACCGCCCGAAGGCGACCTGGGAATGGTCGAGGAACGAATATGGTGTGCCAGGTCCATGGGAAAGCACCTTGGGCTCCGACACAGCCGGTGCCAGAGGTGAGCATTATGAGGTAATGTTCTCTCTCTCTTTCTCCGTCACCGGAGAAGAAGGGAGGCGCACGCGGATAGGTTCGACGGCCTGACAGAACGTGGCTCGCTCATTCAAACATTGGCCGGCCGACTCTGCGTTAGTCACACCGGGAGAATACGAAGAAAGAGCGATCGCGGAAGTTTTCGTCTCTCTCTCTCTCTCTCTCTCTCTCTTTCTCTCTCTGATTTTCAGAAATTAATTTCAACACACGGTACACATTCACGCTCGATTTTCAGGCCTCTATCTTCTCGCGTCTCTTTTGTAATCTCGAGAAATGACGCGGCACTTGACTCTACCGTCCAAGAAATGTGCTTTGATAAAATCACTGTTTTTTTTATTTTACATTGTTCGAAAAACTAGATTTTATCGTAAATTTCTATCGGCAAAACATACTTGGAGAGGCTAATCTCATCTTCATCGAGATTACTTTTACTCTCTTTATTACTGTAATATTCGACTTCTTGTCGGCGTTCTCCGTGGATCGTGAAAAAGAGTAAACACAATATCGATGGAAACAAAAGCGTTTTTTTTTTACGATTTATAGCTTTATTTTGCTGCATTTATGGATGGATTGCGGATCGTAATCCGGCTTCCAGCCGAAGCAGAGATAATCCGATCGCGTCTTCGGACGAGCGAAAATATTTCTTCCCCGCCTATTCCTCCCATTTCCTCTCGTGGGAGTCCGCGCGTTCACGGTCCTTCTTTCAAATAAATGACTCATGTTTTGTACGGCGGCTCAAGCGTGTCCGAGGCGTCGGAGCCAGACGAAAGAAAGGGAGATAGAAGCGTACCGAGGTATTCCTGCAAAAACTTACCAGAATGCGTGGATCGTGACGCCAGCAGTAGGACGGCGGCCAGCCAGAGGATTATCCCGCGTCTACAAAGCGCGGCGCTCAACGCCGACATGTCGGCACTCTTCTTCCGTACCCTAAAACATGTAAATGATGCTTTCGTTAGTTCGCATTATCCGTGTAAGTATAAACTATAAGATCTCCAAGTCTCTCGTAATGTCGCTTTGTATATAATAATCAAAATAAGAGAGCCAATCTTCATGAAATTTATTTAAACGGAGAAAGTCGGATAAAATTATTTATAAGGCAAAGCATTCCCTCGAAAATATATCTTATCCGCATTTAAATGTAATTGAGTTCTGTTTACTTGAGATTGTGCGAGATTGTTTTTTTCAATATATTAAATAAATTAATTATTTTAATCGCCAACAAGTGAATATTAAAGCGTTTCGAAACGTAAACACGAATGGCACCCTATATCGGTCATCTCTTCTGCATTATGTGACAAATGCAATCGTTCTGAATATCTGCTTATAGCTCCAAGTTAAACCTACTCAGACAGCTTTGCGAGTTTTTTCGTTATTTATATACGCGTAAAAATTCAACGAACCATTGTACCCTTATCTATTTCATCGTGGCGCGGTTCAAAACCGTATTTATCTCGTCGCATGACATTCTACCACGTAATCGCCACCTTGATTTGACAAATCGACACTTGGACAGACTCTGGAATCGAACCAGATTTATCTTAACACTTTGACCGATCTCGCGTTCATGAATAAGTCAATCAATTGAATTATGTGCGCGTATCGCTGTCTTATAATCGGTATTTAAATAAAAGGAGTCAAGCGGTTGAATTCTAGCTAGCATTTAATCGATGTCGGGGTAGAATCCCCTCAGGTGTACGATATATCACAATGTCAGAGTCAAGACGCCGCGGTTTGCGACGCGAGAAAACACTTGCGACGTCGCGGCGGGAGGCTAAATGCGATTCGTCCGTCTACCTGAAGCGCGAACCGGCTGTGAGAGGCGTGGGTGCGTGGGAATGAGCACGCGTATTTGCACGAGACTACGCGCGTTGTGTGTGCTCAACCACCTCCGTGCTGGGCACCGGCCGTGGTTGCCGATCCGGCGCCGATGCCCTCTCGGACCTCGCTTGATAAGGAGAGAGGAGGGACGCGCGAAAAAAGATTCGTAATAAAAGTTTAATTTTCAAGCGAGAGCGTAAAATCGAGCGCTGGCGCGTTTCGCGTTGCGAGAGAAGATCGTATCTTCAGGTTCTCGACCGAGAGAGATTACTCGGAGAAGCCGTCGACTCTTGCCAGTAAACGCGATAGATGAGGAAGAGAGAAAAATAAGAAGAATTCCCGTGCGCATAGGAAGAAAACTTTGGCGGCGCATACCAGCCGCACGACAGCGGCCTAATACAAAGCGGTACCGAGAGATAAAAGAGAGAAAGAGAGAAAGAGAGAGAGAGAGAGGCGCACGCGCGCGCATAGGTAGTTTCTCTTCTACCTGTCGACTTCATCTTTTCCCCTACGTGTATATTTCCCCTTTGCCACTCCTCTCCCCCGAGCAACGCATCCACCGGCAGCTCATTGTAATCCGGAGAAGGGAAGGGAAAGAGAAGGAGAAGAAGAAGAAGAAGAAGCAATGTGAAAGAGTCGCGACACCTAAACTCGCGCTCGCTCGTTAACGTTCGTTTCATGCTAGCCGCGTTGTAAATTACGTTCCGACCGCGCGATCGTAATGAATCTCGCGCCAATGGATAAATCCGCGAGATATTTCTCAGCGCGACGAGACGCGCCAATTGCGAAGCCGGCAATGCGCCGCGAAGCGACACAGGGACCCTTACGTCATTGCGTATTCACGGTACGGTCCATTGAACGGGGGAATTCGGTGAATGGACGCAATACCGTCAATACCGTCGGGCACGCACGCTTTTAACATCTTTAGCCAAAGTGCTCGGAGTCGAAGTCCAAGTACTGTGCAAAATGCTCCGAGACGCTCGTTCTTGTGAATTCCTTCCGCGAGAACTTTCCGAGAGGAATGCACGCTGCGTCGTGAAGCTGTAACTTCTTTCATTCGCGGTAGTAAAACAGGACGCTCGTAACGTCTAAATTTGCATGGTCTAGATTTTTATTTCCCTTTGCGCTTGTGCTTCCACCATACGCTACGATCCGCTACGTGCCCCATAATATTTTCTCATTTCTATACACGCGCGTGCAATTTTAAAGTTACTCAAAGATTATTAAAAATGTATTATTCTGAATTATAACTCAGGTATCGTTTCTCCGATTTTCTACATGAAATTTTAATAAATAAAGTCTGTTGAAAAAGTTAAAAGAAAAAACGTAAGAAGAAACAGTACTTGATGCTCATTAAGCATTGGTTAAAAATTAATTTGATCAATTAATCTTGACATTCGTCTGTCATTCCGCGACAATTCCAGTAGCTCGATAGAGTCGCGTTGCTCTCACGTTCGGTGCGTGCATGACACGCGGGTCGCGTTCGCAACCCAGAAACGACACACCCGTGCGGTGACGCGTTATGAATGGAAATATCGGTCTGACAATGTGGCCCGGCTCCATTGCGTTCCGCGTTCGTCTCTTTGTCTCTCTCTTTCTCTCTGTCTCATTCCCTCGGCACGATCGGCATTCGCGTCGATTCACCCTCATTCGTCGCCAGGTGCATTACTTTCCATCTTGCTCGTCCAGGAGCAGTAGGCGCGTCCGTCGAACCGAGACTAATTCCACTTGCGCTCTCGACACGGCCGCGCCGCGACGGAAGGCACCGTGTCTTCGGCATGCATCGCGTTTATAAAGCGCGACGCGCGTCCAAGTGCATCGTCGCAGGGTCCGGCACTGGGTCTGTCGCGCCGATAAATTTACGTTCGATCCGGCGGTAATTGCCGGCGATGACATCTTCCGGTTAACAGCACGCGCGCGATCATCGATCGTGCGCGCTACATATGTATGTACAACCGTCGACTATCCGGATCCCTTTGACTCGAGTGGCTCGAGCTCGTAACGGGACGGACGCTCTCTCCCCCTCTCGGATTAATCAATTACATTTTACGACGGTTAAATAATGAGAAATATAAAGAGGTATTTTCCGATTCGTCTGAAAGTATTTCATGCTCGGAATCTCGATTCTTTTCCATCACAGATTTTTCCAAGCGTCCGTATTAGATATTGTAAATCGATTTCATTTAGAGATATGGCTTGCGGAGATATTATTATCGGTTTCTCGGCATGTGCCTTCTGACTCAACATTGATGTCAAAGTATCGAAACAGTTTTGACGAGACACGTAAGAAGCGCGAATGGCAGCCGGAGTCAAAGCGAAGAGAGAGCTCGAGAATGCTCGAGAATGCTCGATTTTACTTTCAGGCCCGCGCGATAAAATTACCTATGGTCGGATGAAACTCGGAACAGACGAGTTAATACGCTCTCGGCAACAACAGCGAGAGCGAGCGATGCGTTCCACGTCACGGCAAAGTAAGGCGAACGCCTCCGCTCTAATTAATCCGCTAATTAATGCGTCGTGATTATCCCGCGAATGGATAACGCGCCAACATATTACATCCTGGCTCTCGTTCACGCTGAGGTAACCATCTCTCGTCGTTACTAATAACAGTAACGATCGCTATCGGGCTCCTGCAAGCGCAACGGGATCCCTTTTCGCGTGCGGTTTCCGCCAATGGCGGATCATTTATTGAATCGTGGATAGCGGCGAATTAATTATTATTAGTATTCGCGTTGTTCCTTGCGACCGGGCCGCCGATGTCACGGGGTTAGGTCAAGTTCAGAGGCTAGTCCGCCTTGTCCGCGCTTAGGAACGAGATGGTAACGATAACGATCGTCGGGGGAGAAGAGCCAGAGAGATAACAGCCGGTCGTGCGATAATTGCGGCAACATAGGAGTTTGGCTTGTACGGAGGAGAGGGTACAGAGAGGCGCAGCTCGAGCTAGGTGCACCCACGGGGCCCCGGCCCCGGCCCCGACACAGAGGCCGGGGTGCAGGCTGGTGGCAGAGGTTCCGTTACAGCCCGGAGGCTGCGTCCGTTCACCATTACCGTGGAACGCGGAATATGATTACCTTCACCTGAGAACAAACTCCTTATACTACTACGACCGACCGCTAAAAGGGGACCGTGGGCGAAGTTCGCCGTCGTGGATACCGTGTCCCGGTTTTACTCCGCCGTTCGCTAATCAGATTGGAGCCGGTCGGATCGACCGACTTTCCACGAGGGAGATGCGTCGGAATTGTTCGGAATCGGCTCAAATCTGCATACAGAGCGATTGAACGCGGCCGTTTTAGCATCGTCGTCGTCAGCACATGCAACTAATTTTATCACACGCTGCGCATTATGCAAATCCGCAGTTCGATAATACTGTCGGTATGCGTACATGCGTGCGTGCGTGTAGTTTGAGGAACGAGAACTGATCGCGCGATCGCGCAACGTATCAATTTATAGGGACGTAACAAAGTATGTACTTTGCTCTCGCCTAAGAACTGTTTAATCTTGCGCGAGTCCACTTCTCGCCGCGAGTCTCGCGCTTATAATATTCCGAGATTGATTTGTACAACTGCAACATATATTGTTTTATTTACGATGTCCCGCGCGCGAGTAATGGCACGGTTAATAATTTATGACAACAAATGGCCGGCGACTGAAAGCGCGTACTTCCGGCAAGATGGGTAGGTACTTGGTTCGCGTAGGTATCGTACGAGTCGAGGGGGAATGAATAACGGACCTGTCCGCCTCTTGTAAAAGGGATATCCGATGCTCGAGCCGCCGACGTGCTGCTTCATCTTCTTTGAGGACTACGCGAGTTTCGACGACTAAAAACCTGATAATTGACAGCGCAAGTACTGGTCCATCTCGAGCGCATTATTGGCATAACAGTATATCGGTCCAGAGCATGCATTAATAATGCCTCCAACGTGTCCTTGAGAGAGCTATAGAAGCGAACATATATCGCTACGTCTATTTAACTTGACATTGGAAATTTCTAAAGCACAAAACTCATAAATATTTTAACATATTTATTGACAAAAGATTCTTTTCTGTTTATTGCGAGAATTGAATGAAAAAGAAGGATTTTTTCTGTAATCTTATCCTCATATCTCAAA